TGCCTGAAAGTATGGGGAACCAATGACAATGAGAAAGCACTAGTGGCTCTGTTTTTTCAACGGCCTCAATACATTGTGTGATATACTCTTTGTCCAGGGGGTCTCAATGCCATCATGGGAGGATGCCAGTTCCTTTGGTAACTGTAGCGCCCCGTACCTGTCATCAAGCATCATTAGATTATACTCAATACCGCACGAGAGATGCTGTCCGACACCGGTGTAAATTTCATCCAGAGAACTCTCAAACGCCAGAGTGCTATAAATTGCTGAACACAGACCAGCCCTCGAGGGATTTCCTAGTTCGATATCAACCTCCTTGGTAGGAAAATCCAGGGTGTTCTCTTCGATTTCAAATTCTGCAAATTGTGCATTCACCTCTGGGAAGTCACAGGAAAGGCGTTGGGGTCCGATATCGACACATGGTTCGTAAAAAGTTACGTCTTCCGAGTCCGGTACCGATTTTGGTCCACTAGTGAATTGAATATCGTTAGCAGGTTGCTCAAGATATCCGCAATTCCATATAGAAGGGTTCTCATCCAGGCATTCGGAATCATCAGGCATTTTCCACCGGAGGTTGTGCCAGCGCCTCCACGCTGCTCGCTACAAGTTCCTTCGTTAAAATCTTGGAATCCTGAGGGAATAAACCAAGCAATTCTTTGGCTGGGAGTCTGTTTTGAGGGCTGGTGCTGAGACAAATGTCAACGATTGTTCGGTAGTAGTCAGGAACTTTCCTATCGACTGGGATAATGAATGGTCTAGCCTCGCTGCCGGGTTCATCTATTTCCATAGCAAGCGCCCAAAGCGTCATTCCCAGCTGATATAGGTCAGATTTCACCCCGATGTACATTGATATCTTTTGCTTGCTTTGTAATAGCTTCGTGAATTCTGGGGCCTCCCACCCCACCGGACAGCCCCTGCGATTGATATCAATTATTTTTGCGTCGTCACTAGCGTCAACAACAATATTTGATACGGTGAGATCTCCTTGTACAAAACCAGCTTCGTGAATTTCGGCAAGGCCTTCGATAATTTGTCGTGCCCAGTGCGCTCGCCTAGACCATTCAATAGTTCCTTTATAGTCGTAGATCAACTCGATCAATGATCCCTTTTCCGCGAAGTTTATTAAAAGGCCTTTGGTAGTCAACATATCATCATCCACAACGATAGCTTTTAGTTGGATGACGCTCTGGGAACCGATTAAGGCATATAGCGCGTTAATCTCATAAAGGAACTCATTGACCATATCCGGCCCTGGAATTTCTTTCTTTACATAGTCCTTCCCATTTAGCTTCACTTGATAAGCAAAACCAGATAGATGGGCAACAAATGAAAGATCGCTCTCGCGGACCATATCCAATCCTAGATATTCAACAGCAGATATTGGCGGATAAGGAATGATCTCATTCATATCCTCTGTGACGTGAACATGAAGCCGACCTTCCCTGGTTTCTAACCTAAGATTTGTCACAGTGTCATAGAACTGGATTTCAGGTAGAGAGTCGCGGATCGATTCGTATATCCGAGCATTTTTATCCCGTTGGTAGTACAATTTTTTGAGATCCCGTTCCAGAGAATCTGGTTCGGCATTTCTATAATCGCAGGACACGGTAACTCTCAGCCATTTATTTGGGGTTTCTGCGTATGTGACGAAAAACTTTTCTCGTTCAGAACGATCTCGAAAGTGCATGCTCAGATTCAATATCCATTTCTTGTCCATCTCCTTCTCCAACATGTCTTCTGCCTCCTCCCCATCGATTGAGAAGGTGCCGTTAGTATGGGTACCAGAATCATAGTGATTCGGTGCATGTAACGGCGAATTATCTAGCCACGAAGGAATGGTGAAATTGTTATCGTGATACTGCACCTCTGGCGCTGACAATCGTGCGGTAGAAACCGGTGGTGATGATCGAGTTCGATGGAAACTGCTGGGTCGCCGTCGGTCCACGGAAAGCGTTCGACGACAGCCTGTTTCAGTGGGGTAAAGGCGGTCTCGCTGTTCAGAATTCTGTCGCTTGAAGGTTGTATTGCGGGGCAGACCCACTTCAACTCCGCTCGATACTAGTCGGGGAAGATTATTACTGTTGTAGTTCGCGCTTTGACTACTAGCATCGCTCCTCTCATTGTAAGATGTGGGATCACGAAAACTTTGAGATCCCCGGGAGGGCGAACGGCGGTTGTTCTTTCCAAGCCATGGAAACCCCAATCGATGCCACACGCTCCTCTTGGACGGGGGAGTCTTCTGAAGGTTAGGCATGGGAATGCAATGTTGAGTCGGAGACCCAGGTCTGTCGAATATCGAGATGGCCATGCAGCACAATCTGGAGTGGGCTCTGGCTCCTCAGCCGCGACACGGGTGAGGTAAACAGCCGGCTGAACAAAATCGATGTGTCCATATGAAAAGGAGAAAATAAAATAAATAAAATTGATACACCCCGATTGGGAACTGTGCGCTTATGGTGGATCGCAGGTCGCTCAGCAGTATGTAAAACAAGGGTTGTCCATGCATATGAATTGAGTAAATAGTTGCATGTGGATTTGGAAATCTGTTTATCTGCTCGGGACCATCCGCAGGAGAGGCTTTATACTCAATCAACTGCAGAGATTTTCAGTGAAGCAGGTCAGTTAGGCCGGCTCATTCCAAATAACAAACGGGTTGGATCGTTCAGGAAACGTTCACAACCCGGGGCAAGGCAACAGACGACGAATACGGGGGTAATGATGGATGTGATGGTCGTAATGATATCAATTGCTTGAACGTAGTGAAGCGGATAAAAGCGACGGGCGCAGGGGCAATTATCGAATATAAAATCGCAGAGGATTCGTGGTGGTTCCTATTTGTTGTTTTGGTTGTTGTTGTTTGTTGAAAAAAAGATGAGGCTGATGTCGCTAAAAAAAATCAATCTTGTTTTCATTTTTCATTTTTATTTTTATTTTTCTTTATTTATTTATTTTTTTTTTTTTTTCCCATAGTTTTCACCGCTGAACCAAACCCAATGAGCTTCACACACTGGTCCTACCCTGGCCCTGCCTTTCCCTTGCTCCGCTCTCATATTAATTGAGCCTACTAGTAATTGATTTGCAAAGAACGGCCACGAGTAGGTTAGCAATAGGCAGGTAGGGATCGAAGCTGAGCATTCGGTTGCTGCACTGACAGAGAATTAACAGACATACTTGGACCCGGATATGCATGTCGACCTAAGAGAACGCAATTGGTGGCAGAGGCATGGGAATGGACCGCCTTTGTCTCCCCCGCTAATAATAGGGGAGGATGCCTTATCAGCCATTCATTGCTGCGCTGTTGGAACAGGTAGAGGTGCCTAGCTGGATTGTTCTGGAAAGGCTCTATCGATCTCTTGTCACCTGGTGGCCAGTGGCCTCCAGAAATATTTCCAGAGCAACATACGGCTGCGATTAGCTACAGTGCCAGGTCACAATTGTCGCACCTGCAATTGTGATGAAATATGATCCTTGGATGCCGTAACGAACGGTACATCAGTCCATGTGCGCAGGTCACATTTCTTCCGTGTGAAAGAGAAGAATCAAAAGTTGTCATCCTTGGCTCGCATACCTTTGCAATGAGCCCTAACTAACCTCTACAGGATGAAAAAATAAAAATAAAAATAAAAAATAAGGCAAAGCAAATCACCTGTGGCGCGGTCTGAACGGGGATTAAACGGCCACCAAACTGAGTGCTCCACCAGGAACCCCTCCATCATTTTGAGTTGGTTGTTCGCCAACGAAATTCTACGAGGGGCAAATCCCACCATGTCATCTTTCATCTGGAGGTTTCCCTTATCCCGCATTAGCCGTGGGATTCGAGTTGTTGGGCGCTCTTTTGGTAAGGCGCTGCTTGTTCATTGTGTTCTCCAACTTATGCAACCATGCCTTAGTCGATTTTCTGGAGTGTGTTGGCTCCAATTGACCATACAGGATTCTAGATCACTTTCTCCGTACTCACCTTTGGATGGAGGGTGAAGCCAGGCATATGGCCCTCGGGACCCCCAATGCGGTTTCTTACAGGTGGCCCTGTTGTACCGACACGACTGCTGGCTCATTTCCTTATCACTCGAATTCGTTGTTAACTCCATTCCATCGAGCTAGGCAGGTCGTCTTTCCGTTAGCTAACCTCCACGTCAATGACTTGGATAATTGCATAATATCCCGATACTGGTTTAACCTAGTCCTCCCACTCTTTCGCTCTAGATGAGAACCTCGACTTCGAAAGGCAGGATGAGTGGTGAAGAACTACAGAAACCATTGTTAATGCGTCCCGGTTAAAGAGTATCAAAGCCTTTCGTTTTCCTTGTTCAGTTCCATTATTGAATTATTCAGAGCTATGAGTAATTGGTTTGCCTCCACCAGGGTGAGTTTCATGCTCATATTTTGATGTTGCCATTGTTGACGTGTTTGGACTTCCCCGCCCCGTTTCGGATTTACCAACGCCCAAGGCAACCTGTCTATAAAACTGCTAAATTGTCAGGCACAACAGCCTCGACTTCGCCTTGACAAGAGTATTTTGGTAAGAACACTTTCGACAAGAATATTTGCGCGAAGAACAAAACGGATACGATCACTCATGGCCGACAAGCTCCATCCTATTGACAAAAGGCATCCTTACCTTCGGTCAACCCAGAAATCGAGAGTTTTCAGTCTGCTGATCTTTCTCCTATGTATAATGAAATCTTCCTGGCAGATCAATCTCAACCTTTTCTTCGTAGTACATCGGAACGTGGGTGATAACGTGACATTCTGCTTCTTTCAAAGGTTGAGACCCTTATATCCATGAATTATTGTTGCCAACGAGCAAGGGGCGGACCTTCGCGTGGTTATTGTCGCTCTCTCGGGGCAAAATTGGGGATGACCTGCGGCGGCCACTTTCACCCGCAAGCAGGTTTCCAATAATATTTCCAAGGAAAGAAAAATATCAAGCCCCTGTGAATGTGCTTAAACGCGCGCAGAAGGCCTGCATGGCCCCGATTTCCCTGTGCCAAGGGACTCCAGGCAACCAAATTGAAACCCTACAGTTCGCAGGAGTAAATATGCATGAAATTTTGGCGAGTCGCTTACTGCGTATTCTCTCAATGCTCCCGCAAGAACCCAAGCCAGAAATTTATTGAAATTGACGATTGAAGATCAAAAGGACAATTCTCTTTCTCCTCTATCGCTGAAACATCTGCCTCGTTTCTCCTGCCCTGCCCAGAGTTACAAGTCGCGGCTTTTCAGGCAAAGGCATAGCGCAAAATGTCCTTCAGTGTAAAATGGATGTCAAAGGTCTTCCTGGCCACCATTTGTCTTTTCGCCTGGTGCACCAGAAACACTGCACCCATCCTTGAACCAGAAGCACAAGAAGTAAAAAAGCAGACGAGGAACACTTCTTCTACCTCCGTTGGCCTTCAAAACGGAAATTTTCAGTTCCAAGACATTCCCACAACTGGGCAACTCTCAACCGCAATCACAACTTCCCCGCTGACCCTGCAATTTGGCCCTCTAGCGACCGCGTATTTAAGGAGGCAGGACCCTGCGCTAGCAGACTATGCGGTCTATTTCCCACTCCTTCTCACTATCTGACTCGCAAATATCATCTCTCTGTAATATTTTTGACAATCTGGACCAAGCAGAGTTTCCCAACGTCTGAAAGATTTGCTCGCGCATGAAACTACTTGCCTGTGATGCATGAGCAAAAGAAGTAGCAGTCTTCTATAACTTAAATATCCCGACCAAACATAGAAAAACTCCTCAAAAGCAACTAGCTGGTGGGAAATGAAAATATCTACCCGTAGTAGATCACTCCCACTATCTCCCTCCCCTCGCCCATCCGAATCATGTATTTGCATTCCATGCCAATGGTGCACGGGACCTTTGTTCGCCATAAGCTGATATATCAGCTACAGTCTTGGTGATAAGGTGCACTGGTAGAGAATTTGAATCCCTCCTGAATATAGTGAGTTGCGGTTGAGCCATGGCATTCTTGCTTTCGACGTATGCCCTATGCGGCGTATTTAACTTTATATGCGGAGGGATTGGAAAGACCAAGCCACCACCATGTCATGAGACTTTTTTTATTCTCCCGCTGCATCTCTTTCCTTACAATTCTTCGTAGCTCTCAGAAGGCGAAACCCCAATATTGAGGAGGCGATGGCACTAAATCGAACATCTTGAATGTCCTCGTCCATGTCTCGTATTTGTTATTGTTTTAGTGTTATCTCCACACAATACAACATCTATGGTTTTTATTCTCGTTTTTATATATGGCCTTAATATGTCAATGACGCCTTTTCTCTCCCGAGTCCGCATGAAGATTTTTGGGAAAGAGGGGGATGAAATAATAGGGGTATATAATAACAATGATAGAGGGAAGAGAGGCGAATAATACAAATGATCTGCAGACTCCAGAGAGCAGTAGATCTCGGGGCGGACAAGCATATCAAACAAACAAAATAAAGGCGGTGCGGAACTATAAATAACTCCGGGCCCATGCATTGAATGAAGAGGGAAGAGTTACATCAGACCTATATAGGCTAAGGGCATAAAAGAGGGGGTAGAAATCTATCAGGACAGAAGGAGGAGGAATATAATAACAGGCATAGCTTTAGAGTAGCTGTCCAAAGTACAAAATGTTAGAGAGATCTAGAGAGGGGAAAAGGACGGATATGAATTGCGCTTCGGACCCCGATTCATTCGTCCTCCTCTTTGGCGTTGGTATCGGATTTAATGACGCTGGGAGCCACTTGCAGTTGGGGTTTCCATTTGATTTGCGCCTGATCCTTGTCAAGATCGCGGAAGACGATGTCAAAGACTTCTGAGTACCAATTGACGGGATGCCCTTCGATGCCTTTTTTGATGTTCTGTAATGTTTTAAGAAGAGAACGGAAGGTTAGTCTTGGAAATAAGTCTCAGAAACAATTTCGGCATGGTGGGTGGCCAGGAGGAAAATTAGGAATGAATTTTTATATCTTCTGTTGAGAAGGAGAACGAGAGGGAACGAAGAGAACGAGAGGGAACGAACCTCTGGTAACTCCAGCCAATCCGACATATTATCAGCTGGAAAAATTATTGATTTGGCGCCAGCTCGTCGAGCGGCTACGGTCTTTTCACGGAGGCCACCGATACGGAGAACTTTGCCTGTCACAGTAAGTTCGCCGGTCATAGCGATGGTAGGATCCAGGCGATGGTCAAGAGCGAGGGAGAGCAGCGACGTTGCCATCGTGATACCAGCAGACGGCCCTGTACTTCTTTAGCTTGCTGACTGCTGAATTGGCTGCTTTTTTGTTTAATCTTATACATACCATCCTTCTGCACAGCGCCCTCTGGGCAATGCAAGTGAACTTTTGCATGCTCAAAAAACTTATTCCCCGTGAACTCCTTGGCCATCAAAGATTTAGCAAACGAATATGCGATAACGGTCGACTCCTTCATGACATTCATCAAATTCCCTGTCTGTTCGAGAGCTGGGCGGGACGTTGGCGACAGCGAGGTATCCAAAATCGACTCCACATATAAAGCGGCTCCTCCCATGCTAGTCCACGCGAGACCCATAGCTACACCTGGGGGCGTGACATCGTAGAGCCTATCAGAGGTGAAAATGGGCGGACCGACGTAATCTTTCAGGTTATCTTTATTTATTGAAACGTGAATATTCGCCGGAACATGTACCGCGACTAGAGGAGCCGGCACCGATTTAATGGGATTCTCGCCCCCTTCGACAACACTCTCCTCGCCCTTTTTCTCCTGCTCCAACGCTGGTTCCAACTCCTCTCGAACGGCGACTTCTTCAGCATCCTTCTCCTGCTCTGGCAGATCCTGAATAATTTTCAATGCCGCTTTTCTATAAACCTTCTCTATTTGCTTTTTTAGATTTCGCACTCCGCTCTCTCGACAATAAGACTTGATAAGTTCTTCAATAGCATCTTTCTCCAATGTCACATCAACATCCTTCAAACCACTCATTTCCTTCGCAGAAGGCGCCAGGTATCGCTCCGCGATAGCCATCTTCTCATCGGCAACATACCCAGAGAGCTCGATCATTTCCATTCTGTCCAGCAAAGGTCGCGGAATCGTGTCGGTCATATTAGCTGTGCATACGAACAAAACTTTCGACAAATCCACTGGGACGTCCATGTAATGATCCAAAAAGGAAGA